TGTGAAAAATGTCTTATTCTCTTATATAAATATAACCACAACCAACCTACTCAGTGAAGATTTTGTGCAAATTAAACCTTGTGCTCAGATCTGCCATATTTAGGATGCCACTTCACTGAAAATGCCAGTGAGAGGGGAAAAAAAGTGGATGTTGTCAGACATAATCTGCAAAATCCTTAATCTGTATGAGGTGAAGCTGTTCTCTGACCAGCTGATAATCAGAACCAAAGGCAGTCTACCAGAACCGAGGCAACTGCTGGCAGCTCTCTTGTCAGCCAAGTAAATGGAAAGCGCTGAGGCCTTTAACAGTTAAAGAGCCTGCCACACACACATCTTAGACTTTCAATTTAGTTAAATAAACTGGGACTTCAGGTTGGCTCCTTATTTCAAACCCCACTTTCACACGAAAAGACACACCGTTGCAGCACACAAGAAGCATGACATCTCCCTCCCTCTCTGTGGGGAGAGAGGGAAGACATCGTGTTTGTAAAGCTAATAACCGTTCGTTCCTTCAGGCGACTCTTTTTATGTGCCTTATACCACACGTCCTCTGACGCAAATAAACAGACCCGCATCTACACACTCTCACTTGTACCTGGTTGCAAGGTCAGCAACATAAATTACCTTAAATTATGATTTACCTGCCAAATAAAAAAAATAATAAAACTGGGGTTCCAACGATGATGGATATTGTTTCCCCTGAACGCAGCCGTCAGGAGTCTTTTTTTATTATTATTTTGAACAAACAAAATTAAAGTGCAAACACTGGGCTGCTTGACGGGTGACAGAAGAAGAGGCAGCTGATCACACACCGAAAGACTAGGGTACATATCTCTTAGAAGCGCGTGTGCACAGTGTTTGATGGATAAACAAACAACATGGCAAGCTCTGGAAAAAAATTGTTTATATTTTTGTGCTAGATAATCAGAAGTGCTACAGTCAGACCTCAGCAAGAAAGGGACCCTAAATATATCTGATTGACACATTCAATTCTTGCAAAGAAGTCAAAACCAGTATACCATTATACCAATTTATACTTAGCAATCATTTGTGAATTCACTTTACTGCTAGTGATCAACTAACTAAATCGCACTTGGTGTTTCATAATCCACAATGGGGTTCCAACCCCAGCTATAGAAATCACTAATGACACAGGTAGCCTTAGAAATCGGGCAGATTATGACCAATTATGAAAATAAACTGAGCTGATCATGGTGGATTTTAATAGACAAATTATCTGTTAGAAAAGAGTTATTTTAGAAATAATGCAGAATGCAGGGTTGTGTAGGAATTGGGGCTAAAATATTTAATTGGATTAAATTTGATTAATTGATTATTGAAATTATCGTCATCTAATTTACTAATCGATTAATCATTAACTGGAATGTAGAAACTCTAAAGCATGTCTTTAACTGACAGAGAAACCCACTTAGAGCAGCAAGTATATAGAAATTGTAAAAAATTATCTAAGCATTTAAGATAAAAAATGTTTTTGTCTGTCAATATGCTCTATCCAGAACTCCTCAAGCAGGATTTTTTTTTGCTCCACCTGGTTTAGTTTCATAAAAAATCTTCTTTATGGAACATTAAGCTATCCGATTATTAATCGATTACTAAAAAAAAAAAAATCAACAGGAGAATCAATTTACAAGATAATTGTTAGGTGCAGCCCTAGTAGGATTGGAAATAGTACGAATCAGTCAAAATTACATTGCTACAACAGAGTAAAGATGGCAAAATGACCAGAATCTTTTGGAATCATTTTCTACTTTAATTCCTATGTGAAACTGCTCTGTTTAAGTAAATAAATAAATACATTAATAACAACTGAATTTGGAGGAAAAATACGGAACTGGATTTGTATTCATGGGACAAATCTCTATTGTCTGTATAGTTTCTATCTTTTGGGAACAGAACATTGAGGTAACAAAAAACCATACCTGGAATTTATTAAATCCATCTTCATCTCTCCAACATTCCAGAATGATTTAATGATTCTTCATAATGTAATATAAGCTTACAAGTATAATTTGGATATTTGAAGGGATTGTTTAAAATGGGGCTGAAACAGTTAATCACATTAATCGTGATTAATGATTAATCGATTACTGAAATAATTCTAAACTAATTTGGTAAATGTTTAATCATATACTGCAATGTAGAAACTCTAAAACATGCCTTCATGTGCCAAGAGCAGAGCACACCTCTCTAAGCTCTATTACATATATATATATATATATATATATATATATATATATATATATATATATATATATATATAAACTTTTCCGTCTGTCAATATGCTCTATCCAGAAGTCCGCAAGTGGAAAAGCTTTATTTTCATCTTGTTTAATTTGGCAAAAAAAAACCTTCTTTTAAGGAACCTTAAGCTATCTGATTATCAATCGATTAATCAAAAAATAATCAACAGCTTAATCGCTATGCAAAGTAATCGTTAGTTGCAGCCATAGTTTAAAACCTATAAACAGACAATACCTTATCTGCATTACATAATTCTTGGAGATTTAATTTAGCGCGAATTCAGATCAACTTTAGTCAGTGGTTTATACAAATGATTTATGGTAAGTCTTAAATCGGTTATTTACAAGATAACTTTCACAGAATACATGGAGATAGGTGGTGATGAGCAACCAAAGCTATATATACACCAATAAACAGACACCAGAAACATTTTAAGTGCTTCCAATGAAAGTAACAGCCCAACAGATAGGCCTGGCAGTGTAAAAATCACATTTATACTGCTTAGCTTTAACCAGCAAAAGAGAATAAAATATTTACACTTCGTTAATCTAAAAATCTGGCACCTATTCTAACCTGAAGTACTGATATATGCTCAGCTTATTGTGGTTGTTTAAAACAGGAACACCACTGGTGGCACACCATACAATGCAAATGACAATTTAAAGATTCATAAAATAGTTTTCACATCAATTTTAAACATATAGCCTTTTTTTTTATTATTTGCATTGTTTTAAGGCAAGAGATGTGTGCTTTGCTCCTCTGCTTTTGGCACCTCTAGAACTAGTTGTTAGCCTCAACCTTTGGGACCAACAAATCTGGATTTACACCAAATAAGGGAAGTAAGTGAGTTATCCGCAGCAGGTAAGACATACCAAAGGCTACATATCACCTTTTAACAACCTCATGTCAAATGCTCTGAACTTCCTCTTTCTTATTTCCTAGCTTTTAAGTATGAAGGAGAGAGGCTGCTCCATTAGAAAAAAAACATTTCAGCATTTTAACAGAAAAACTTTCTCTCAGCCCAGACCCCCCACCCCTTCAGTAAAAGTGACTCGACATGCTGAGGGGGACTTGAGGCGAGGCACAGACTGGTAATCCTCTTGGCTGAGTGGGAGCCTCCAGAGGGCCGGCCTTCACTCCAACCCCCTTCCTCTGTCCACCCCCCCAGCAGCGCTGACAGGCCACCCCATCCAGGAACAGTAAAGCCATCTGGTGTTTGTTTGGGACAGCTCACACACAGGATGAATGGAAAAAAAGAAGGCTGTGTGTGTGTGTTTGAGTGAGAATGTGTGTGTCAGGAGTCATGCCTGGGTGATTGTCACTCCTTCTGTGTGTCACAGAGATTTACATGCTTTGAATTGGATCTTTCTGTCAAAATTAAAGAAAAAAAAACGACAGAAAATTGATAATTAACTATAAGTATCGCCTTGCCTTCAGTACTCATACCGACTTGATCTTGCAAACACAAACCTTAATGTATGTCTATTTAATTGTGTTTCTAATGTGGTTTTATTCTATTGGGTTTTTCAGTTTTCACAAAAAAAGGTAGAACTGTGAGGTGTAAGGTGTTATTGTATTCAGCCTCTATACTTTATAT